AACTACAATAATTTTTTCCCCTAAAAACTAAAATCTATACAATCATATCCTACTGTTATGTATCATACTCAAACATGGATTCCTCTATAGTGTTAGTAGTAAAATTTAATTTTCCAAGGAATTAACGATGATTTTCGAGTAAATTGCAAATCTACCCATTTCTGTTACGAATCTTGTCGAAACATTTGTAAAACTTACACAGGAAGAATGTAAAACTTATCATAAAAGAAATTTGAACATTTTTTAATATAAAGCTGTAATCTCTTTGGAAGCTGCATGTGTGTGACAGCGTCAGAAAGACATGGAGAGAGATTGTTAATGAGAATTGACCACTGGCCTTTGTATTTTTCCTGTCGGTGGACTCGTATGTGGGGAACATTTGTTCTTAATCTTCTCTATCTCCCTTCCCAACCTTCATGTTGATCTTTTGTTTTTCTTCAATCCGTTTGGAAGTTGGAACATAGCAGCAGTCTTTTTTTTTTTTTTTAATTGCAATCGTTTGTCCAAACCTTTTGATCTATTCTTCTTATCTTATGTTCCTTTATTACTATTTCTAACACTTTAATCCTATCCTCGTTCAGGGAAATTTATATTCACGTTAACCTTCCTTCTTGGATACCAATTATTCTAAAGTATGCTACTTTTGAGGTATGAGTTTTTTAAACTATAAATAATTTAGTCGTCTAGAAACAAGAGATAATTTTAGGTTAGATGTCTTATCCAGTATACAGATCCCTTCTATAATATTATAAATTTTTAAAAAGCTCTAAAAAATTTAGTCCTCTCATTCTTACACCATACACAATTTCGAAAAAAAAACTCGTATTTATTATCTATATAAAAAATATACACAATTATAAAAGTTTTGAGGCAAAACCTTCAAAATGTTGGTTGTAAGGACTTTATAGTATCTTGGAAGCAAATTTGCAATCCAACAACAAACTTTGTTAAGTGGGGGCAATATTATAAAGTGTGTGTTCCTCAAAGTTCACGGATTGGTCTCAATATCCATCATATTCAATCAACTGCCCCAGCAAGAACAACCAGAATTTGTTCAAAGTGCATTGTCCTCACCCTAATGATTTTTATATTACGTACTTCTTGTTTAAATGTCTGAAGTTGTGCCCACCCAAAATAAACCAAAAAAAGTGTGGCCAACCAACTCCTTGCAGGTGAAAGTCAAAGCCTTGGCCAAAATGGTTTTGGAAATTGCAGCTTGATTGAAAATTAGTTATGATTAGCAATTATAATTCGATGTTTTTTGTATCCTAAATAAGTAATGCTACACTGACTAAACATTGGAACCAAATTTAGAGTCTAAATGATATGGTAGTTGATTTTAACTTCTTTATTTGATGTCATATCATTTGGGCCTTAATAAAGATTCCAAATAATATGTTGTTATGTTATTTGGACTCCAAATTTGATCTTAAAATTTGGTCAGCATAACATTACTGATCCTAAATTGCTTGAATTTTTTGCTCTGTTATGTACTTGTATTTTCTCTCTATCACAATTTCTTGTTTAATATCTTCACGATAAACTTGAAGAAGAAATTATATTTATACTTGTATTTACTTCTTGCGGCAATTGCTTCGTATCCATTCTCTTCATTAATTTTTTTGAAATAGTCGTTGCTTGCCCACTTTTTAGTCTTCTCTCTTTCTTTGAGATGTTACAACTTGTTTCCCAAGCATAGAACGAGTGTGCAGTACAGTAACTCGAAAAATTACGAGGTCGTCTCCTTAGGGACACTTAGGTGTTTGAATGATGATGTGTTTGTAAAATAAAATAAAAATCATTTTGATTATGTGAGAAAAATAGTGGATATTAAAATTGATGTAGTAAATTCAAATAAAAACAGTCGGCCAATCCTCGAAAATTATCTTCTCATAATTAAGTTTCTTGATTCTAATTTATAACTCATTCAAGCTCATAATCAAATTTATTCGAACAAAAATATTCAACATAAAGTAGTTTTGAACTATATGTTACTTTGAAGATAGGTAATGAAATTTATGGTGATAAATACATAGATAGAAACATATACCCTGAGTATTAACATGTCAAAAATCCGTCAACGATAAATCAAAGAGCATATATAAACACTAGTTTTCAAAAGTAATTTTTACCATCTAAAAAGCATAATACGTGGTAAGAATACATTAGAGAATAAAAAATGTTCAATCATACTATCCCTCGGATCATGCCGAATCTTAATTTTTTTGAAAAGTAAAAAAGCTTTCATTCATGTGAAAAACTTGTGACGTACATCAAACAAAAACCAATACACGCAGAGTGAAACCCCATTGGAGATCAAAAGTAAGGCAAATTCCTAAGAGGCACCAAGCTTTATCTGAATGCCCCAAGGGAATTAGCCCAAGTCCTATACAAATCTATGCAAAACAGTCTTCATAGCAGGCAAGAGGTGGGAAGCGGCCAAGTAAGAAGTAATCTTTCGTTCCTTGGAGTGTTCTTGAATTTAAGAGAGAACATTCTGTACCTAATGGTTTGGACAATAGCATGCAAGATGATTTTGGAATTCTTGGATTGGTGGCTATGGAGCCTTGAGTTCCTTTCTCTCCAAATGGAGTAAACAGCTATAGAGAGGCATAGGTTTTGAAGGGTTCTAAGCATGGACTTACCCTTCCATGATTGAGCTACTTGATCAAGTAGAAGTTGCCATGAAGTAGTTTGCCGTTGTTCCCCACATAGATGCATCAAATGACACCAGATGAACCTTGACTAAGGGCAAGCAAAGAAGAGATGATGGTGAGATTCTTGGGAGTGGCTGCATAGGCTGCATTCAATCCCAAGTTGGGCAGCATAGGCTAGGGTTCTATCTCTTGTGCTTAGCCTTTGTTTGATAGCCAGCCATAGAATAAAGTTCATTCTAGGGATGCCTTGAGAAAACCATAGTAGATGGTACCAAGGTACTCTAGGATGTTGCTCCCTAATTTGATTCCAAGCAGATGATGAAGAGAAAAGGCCATTTGGGGCAAATGTCCATTTCACAGTGTCTTGTCTTAGATGATTTGGGAGATATGAAGGCATGTACTGGGCGATATCCATCAAATTAGCAAGAACAATTGTTGGCCAAGACCATTGATTGTCATTGACAATGAAGCTAACCTTTGAGTTTGTTGGCAAGCTCGATTCATCCATGGTGTTGTTCTAGAAAAGTGATAGAGGGTCATATGGGTGCCAGAAATCATGCCAAAGACAAGTGTTCATACCATTGTCGATAAGATGCTTAATGAAGGGTCTGACGAGTACTCTCAACTTTAAGATGTTGAGCCAATTCCAAGAACAATTGTGGGGTGGTTTAACAACCCAGATACTTCTACTCTTGAGGTAGTAAGAGTGAATCCACTTGGACCAAAGACCTTGTTTGTCAGTGAAGAGTTGCCAGAGATATTTTATCATGAGGGCTGAATTGGTATCCTTGAGTCTTCTAATTTCAAAGCCTCCTTCTCTTTTTGGTCTACAAACATCCTCCCAAGAAAATTTGGCTCCAGTTAACTTCAACTCAGTTCCACTCCAGAGGAAAGATCTTAGGTGCCTTTCAATATGTTCAATGATTTGTTGTGGAAGACAAGGTGGGAGGCCCAAAAAGTTTGAATACTAATAAGGACTGATTGAGTGAGTTGAAGTCTAATAGCAAAAGAGAGGAATCTATTTGTCCAGCTCAAAATTCTTGAATTTATCCTTTCTATAATTGGATCACAGTGCTAGGCTTTAAGTCTGGAGGTAATCAAAAGGATGCCAAGGTATCTTATGGGGAAGAAGGCCTTTAGAGAAGCCTAGAAGGTTGATGACGGAGATTTTCTCTTGAGCAGGAACAACAGCCATGAAAATGTTGCTCTTCAGGAGGTTAGTTTGAAGCCCAGAAAACATTTTGAAGTTGTCAAAAACAGTTTTTAGCAAGCCACTAGAATGAAGGTCACTATGATTGAATAACATAAGGTCATCAACAAAAGTAAGGTGAGTTAAATTGAGCTTTTTGCATCTCCAATGATACTTGAATCCTGAGTTTGGATAGGTTTGTTGGCTGATAATAGCTGAGAGTACCTCCATGGCTAAGACAAAAAGATAAGGGGATAGGGTATCCCCTTGTCTAAGCCCTCTAGTGCTTCAAAAGAAACCAACAAGCTCCCCATTTACATTGACAAAAAAATTTGGGGTGGTGATACATTGTTTCATCCATCATCTCATTCTAGCTAGAATGCCCATCGTTTCTAGAGTGTCCATAAGGAAGCCCCAGTCAATAGTGTCAAAAGCATTGGTGATGTCCACTTTGAGAGCACAACGAGGGGAGCCTGAGTTTTTATGGTAGTCCCTTAGAAGTTCTTGGGATGATAGTATATTATCACCAATTTTCTTCCTGTAATGAAGGTAGATTGGTTATGACTTATTATGTCCTGCAACACCAACTTAAACCTATTAGCAATTATTTTGCATATTGCTTTGTAAATGAGATTGCAACAAGAGATAGGTCTAAATTCTGCCACGGTGGTAGGTTGGAGGACTTTGGCACAAGAGCAATAATGGTAGCATTCAACTCTCTTAGCAGACTACCATTTCTGAAAAATTCCTTCATAGCTGCAGTAACATCCTCTCCAATAACAGACCACGACTTCTTGAAGAAGTGAGAAGAGAAACCATCAAGGCCAGGGGCTTTCATGTCATTGAAAGAGAAGATGACCGTTTAATCTTATCTTGATCTATGTCTTTACACATATTAAGTGCTTACTGATTAGTAATTCTGCTTAAGCCTAGTGAGTTAAGCATGTTTTTCCTAGTTGTATGATCAGTAGTAGTTGAATTACCCCCAAGAATTCTCATGAAGTAATATGTGGCTTCAACTTTCACATTTTCAAGACCTTCAATTGCTCTGCCATCAAGTTCTTGAAGTTTAGAATTTTCTTTCTATTCCTTCTATTGACCATTGATTTAAAGAAGAAAGAGGTATTTTGGTCTCCCTCCTTAAGCCATAGTACCCTTGACTTGAAAAAGATTTCCTCATTAGTAGCAGCTTCAGAATATTCAGCAAGTAAATGTTTCTTCTGATGCCTAAGTGCCATTTCTGAATGATTAAGGTCTAGCAACCTTTGGCAGGCATCAAGAGCTGCTTTCCTTTCCTTGGCCCTCACAGAGACATCGACAATCTCCCTACTTTTCTCCTTGAAAATGGATTTGAGTCTTTTGAGCTTACAAGAAACTCTGTATTGGTAGTACCATTAAAATTTTCATTCCATGTAGCAGCCACAATAGCAAGAAAGTCATCTCTG